CCTTAAATGAAAAATTTCACGAATTTTCATTAGTTCTAATAGAAAATGGCAACTAAAATTATCTAAAAAATATGACAAATAATAAAAGTTTTAGTTTATCAAATATATTTGAATAATTTAACTTTTAAAAATAAGTAAAGATTAAAAAATATATTGTCTTAGTCTAATGAATGAGGGCAATAAAATGAATTATTAAAAAATAATAATAATAAAATTAAATAGGGCAGTAAACGGGGCACGTGCGCTGCCCCGCCTTAAACGGGTAACTGGGCGGGGAACTTGACCCCGTCCAGTCCCGTTGCCATCCCAGTTGTGTCTCATAATAAGCATTAGGGCTAGGCATAGGTTGGGTTGGTTTTGAGTCCAACCCAAACTCAATTCTACATGTTCGGTTTGACAATAATTCAAATCGAAACCAACCTATTCGCGGATGAAACCCAATCCAAACCAACCAAACTCGGGTTGGGTTGATTGGTTTGGACCTGAGTCCAATTCAAGTTGGATAATTTTTTTATGGGCCCAATGGTTGGGACATTTTTCGTTGAATTTGAACAATTTTTTAAAAGTTTGATACCATTTCAATTAGGATCAATTTCTGTTACATTAAAAAGGGTGATTTGAAAGGTGTTAAGTCGATTGAAGTGGATTAATGGTCCGTAGGGTTAAGTTCCATTCCCACAGAACAATATAAATTAAAAATATTGTTAAACATGTTAAATAGATTATATCATGATCAAATACATATTAAATCAATCTAAATACATGTTGAATACCTGCATATTATACATATTGAATAAAATGAATTCAATCTAAATACTAAAAATGTTAAATCATCCAAACTCAATACAAAATCTCCTCATTCAATCCAAGTGTTTAGTCAAAAGTCACGTCAGAAAATCTAGTCGAGAAGCCGATGCACGAGCAGCAATGAGAGGCAGAAGAGATGTGAGGCAGAGGAGAATTTTGATTATTAGATTTTTGATTTTAAGTACTAATTTTATTATTAATATTTTTTAATTTATTGGGTTGGGTTTGATTGGGATAGATAACCTGAAACTCAATCTAACCCGATCCGACCTAAAATTTGATTTCCTAACCAAAACCCAACCAAATTGAATTAAAAAACCAAACCAAACGAAACCGTTTTGGTTTGGGTTTGGGTTGATCGGTTTGACTGGTTTGGATTGATTTTTGCCCAACCCTAATAAGCATTTTTCTTTCATGCTTCTAAGTTATGAAATTAAGAAGGAAAATCTTATCTTTATTAATCCTTTACTTTCTCCGTAGAGTGTTTATCTTTTGATGTTTTCTTCTTAGGATTTTTTCCCAATTCATTCTAAACTTTTCAAGTCTACAATAGGTTGCATAAAGGTTCTGGTCTTGATAGGAAAAATGTAACAGCTGTCTTTCATTCTATTGGCTTGAGAAGTGAGGAAAGAGCTGAAAAGAGAAAAGAGGTATATACATTAAATCTTGCCTTCTATTTTATCTTTACCATATCTGTAATAGGTATTTTGAATATAAAAGACTATTCTCCAGTAGGCAAATTAACATGACTAATGATTAAGTTGAAACAGTTTCTAAAGAATTTGGAAGCAAAATCAATTGCTCGAGAGGCTGAAGGTGCACAACCTATTGCGAAGACGAAGGTATCTTCTATTTGGGTGAAAAAAGAAAACTTCATTTCAATGCATTTGACCTATAAACAATTGATGCTGACCCATGTACGCGTGAAGCATGATCTAACAAGGCACGATTGATCCAGGATGAAAAGGTGGCTGAGATAAGAAAAATGAGACAAAATCTCAACTTCAAGGCCACACCTATGCCTTCTTTTTATCAGGGTCGAGGGAAAGGTCATTCCAGAAAGGTACAAATCTCTCTCTCTCTCTCTCTCTCACACACACACACACACACACACATAGGGGCGATTTGTCTAGAAAGGTAAGCTTTCATCCAAACCATTTCCACCCACTAGACATGGTCAACTTCTTCCATTAATCAACAAGCTTTTTTATAAAAACCCGTAATCATTTAAATACAAGTTATTTTTCTCTTATCCTACCTATTAGTTACCCCGTTTGTGTATTAAAATTCTCTGAGGGAAGAGTAGAGAAGACAAAATAACGTGAAAGTAAAAGGGGAGGGGAAATGTTGGTATGAGGCAATTATTATAAATGGTTGATTTAGATCTTCGTTTTATTGGTTATATGATAAAACAGGATACGTATTTAGCATTTTTTATAAGACATGTTGACTTTGGCAATTTACCTGAAAAGTTCTTACGTGTTATTACGTAGTTGTTGGAACTAGGAAATTGTTGACCTTTACTAACAATTTTTATCTTTCCTTATTCTTTATCTGTGCTTGAAAGTTCTTGATTTCTTTTCAAAGTTAAACATTAGTGGGAATTTGATCGAATTATCCATTTAAATACGTGGATTAAGCTACTGTAGATGTGTTGATGAGAATTTTGCTAATGACATGAACTTATTGTTGATTATCATGTCAAAGTCATGTGAATCTGTGTTAAGTTTTGTTAAGATTTGGGGTTCCATCTTAAAAGGTTAATCTTATTAAGCGGAGTAGCCCAAGATCTTTATTAATTGGTTTGTGTCAACATCATTTATCGATGTGGGATATATATCCCTTAACAAGTTTTTTGGAGAATTATTGATGGCAAGATAAAAAAGTTCTGTAGAAATTATATGGACACCTGGAAATTTATTGATCACCTTTTAGCTTAACAAGTCGTGTTGATTTCACATGAGAAGACTGGGTATGTCTTTCCACAGTTGTGTTATAGATGGGCTACATTTGTAAAAATACATTAGCTCTAATGTAAATTAGTAAAATCCACAGTGAGAAGATGAAGATTTTTTAATTCTTTGTAGTTTGAATTTTGAAATGAGCCATTTTGTTAAACCTTTGATCTCTTTCTCAGGGGATGTTCTGGTTCATAGTTCCGAAGAACATAACACAGTACAACGGATAGAGTTTCTACTTATTTGTCTTCTTCGATCTTGTTTGATAGCGTCTAGTTCAGTATACCAAACATGCCAGTATTTGTCGATTAATGGCACGCGGCCCATTCGTTCCTGTTTGTTGCACAATCCATTTCTGTTTTTCTTCACCATTAATAAGTCGTCATTTGGTTGATGCCTTGAAAGTATTATTTTTGTCAACATCTTTTTATCCACATATTTCATGAGATCCATAAGCACTTTCCACTTATCTACCGTTCATTCCTATCTATTTATGCCAAAGGAGGATCGGTCTTAACTTGGCCATTTCTATGTTCCCAGGAAAAGGGAACATCAAGTTCTATTTAAAAAAAAAAATTGTAAATGAAAGTAAGCTGCGAGATGGATATCCAGGTTCTTGGTTAATTTTTTTTTTCAGGAAAACGTGTTCAAGAGGAAGTGCATTATCTACAGCAACATTAATCTATGATTTACATAATAGGAATAAGAATGGGTAATCATAAAAGTTGCTACACGTGGACATGCACAACCACTCGAGAGATCTGCATATTCATATTTGCAGTGTATTACAATGCTTCTCTTTTTTTTTGGAAGTAATATTAATCTATCTTGATGATGTTGGTTTTCATCGGTGCAATGTTTGTAACATTTCGTTGCTCATCTATTACTCAATCCTGGTTTGTTTGTGAAACACTAGTGCATCTCAAACCTCTTGCACCATGTTAACCAGTTAAAAGATCTAGCTGTTAAAGAAGGGGCGGACACATGAACATATTTAAATGTTCTCTTCAACATGCCCCCTTACGTGTAGTTCAGATTCTTGAAGGCCTGACACCTGACAAGTTTTCCTAAGTGGCAAGATCTGAGCTGATTGTTTAATGAATGATTATGAGATGACATTAATTACTCAGATTTACATTGATATATGCATATTAAGATTTAACATTATGGCAAATTATATTTTCAATATTTTAAACAGATTGAGAATATTTCAAGATCTATGACTTTTATGGGCAAAATGATATGAGATTATATACCGTTGAATTGTAAAGTGTATGAATTCTATTCCATGTTAATCATCTAATCTCAAAGCTTAGGTTGTTGGAGAGAGGACACTTGTATTGAGTTATATGTTGTCTTCAATGCTCAGGCTTGTTGGTTATGTTCTCTTCAGTGACACGGATTTGTTTTTCTTTTCCAAATAAAATTGCAGGAGGGCACAGACAATAAGATCCATCCTCGACCAACTTCTAGTAGGTGAGAAATTGTTTTTCCCATTCCATGAGGAAAAAATACATACTTCGCCATAGAATATTGATGGCACACAGTTGTTGGAGTATATATACCAGTGGAAGTTGCACATACAACGAGAACTAGCTTCTCCACCAGCAGCAAGATTGGCTTATGAGATACGGGATTTTGTCTCCTGTATTAGAAATCCATATTTACCCCGTGGAGGAGATGAAAAGAGTATGGCTGTAGTTTTTACATCGACTCTTTATCTTATCCTTGCATAGTTGTTAAATAGTTTAGAAGAACTTTTATACACAAAAAGTTAATATATGTGTGGACGTGCGGATGGATAGTTTTCCAATAGCAGGGAGACAGTAAGAGTAATTACACACTACACGCTTTTGAAATTTGTTTGTGTAGGAAATTGAAAACTTCGTGCATACCTTTGAACTTTTCGAATGGATATTGTATAATTTGTATTGCGTTGTATGTATTGAAGATTTCTGTTTATTGTCTTGAAAATGCAATTTTTCGATCTCTATCTTTTGTTGTTGATACTAGCTTAGTTTTAGTTGGATCATCTTTTTGTAACAGCAAAAAAATAAATCCTTTGAATACAAGAAAGAATTTCTTACATAAAAATCAAATAACCAAGGCATTTATAGTGTCAATTTTATGCATGTACAAGACTCCCAAGTATGTAGACACTGATTAGCTTACTTCTGATGCAACCGTGCCAGTTTTTGTCCCTTCGTTGGTTCGAGACCCAAGATCTGTGTTCCGTTATTCATTATCCGAGTCACTTGAACTACTCTTAGAATTGTTCGACATGAAATTGGCAGGCAATTTCGGGAACCTATACACCCTAGGCGATCCTGGGGATGATGGTGATCCTGCAGAAGATGGTGCAGGTTTTCTCTTCTGAACATTTCTTGCAATATCAACACAAACTTGATCAACCATTCTTAGGAAATCTCGAACAATGACAAATAATTGAAGTGGATTTGTCCGTTTATCTTTTGAAGATCCCTCCTGATAATAATCTGTTGTTTTCTTCACAAGTTCTATAATTCTTGTTTGCTCTTCCTTTACTGCTTTTATTTCTTCTTCAGCCCCCTCTACAAAATTTTTCATTTCCTTTGCAAATTCTGTGTTGCGATCAAATTGCGCCACTATTTTCCGAATTTCGATCATTTGAGATGATAATCCCGAGCTTGTTTTGACTAGAGAATCATAGTCTAACGTGGCTGCTTTCTTCACATTTGAAAACTCGGAGCTTAGGCCACCTATCACTGGCAATCCTAACATCATGTATTCCTTTTCTCTATCAACTTGTAATAAATTATCTGAACTTTGGTTTTCGGGATTGATGTTTTGGCTATTTGTTCGACTCATGCTGCGATTTCTGTTAAGCGCGCAGCGTTTTCCCTCGGCCCGGACTACTTCTTGGACGACAAATTGAAGCAAAGTTGTGGTTCCATCACTGCTTTTGACATCGGATAGTTTTCTAAGAGCTGTGAGGTTGAACGCTTGTGCATTTCCTCTTGATGTCCCTGCATTCAAGCGATTCCCGGCCTTAAGCACTGCTTCCAAGAGTTTCAAGAAGAGCCCTCGAGTTCTAAGCTCGGCGCAAGCTGATTCCAGTGATTTTACCGATTCTTTGAGGCTCGAAATCTCTGTGGAATAGTTTAATCTGAAAAGCATGGCGTTAAAATGAGTAAAGGCTGATGGAAAAGCTTTGAGGAGGTGGTAGAGGAAGGATTCTGCATCAGCAAGTCTCGTTGGATCTCCATCAAACGCGAGGATTTCAGATGTTTCTTCTGCTGTCGGAGATATTTTTGTGAGCTTTTCAAGAGTATCTGCATTTAGGCCGTCTCCCTTGACAAGGGCATCCACGATTTCTTTGTGCAAAACGCCTAGTGATTTGAGTACAATTGCTGTGTTTTGGGACTTTCTGGTGTCGAGAATGAAAATCCGGGGGGCTGGACCAGATCTATCCCCTCTTGGGCTTGTCGAATTACTGCCTTGTCGAGGAGATTTTCGATTGGTGGCAACATATCCAAATAGAGCTTCCATAAGATCAGCATCAAACCTGAATTCATGTCAGAAGAAAACTTCTGAGAAGAATAGATCAAAACAGAGAGTTTTTGAGACAGAGTATTAAAGAATCATTACTTGAATGAGCCTTGATCAATTTTATCCCACACCATGGAATGTTCCATATTTGGATTCACCTTATCCCAGTGCAAGGGCTTAAGTTTCATCTTTCCATTCCCATTGCTCGACGTGCCTTCTCCCAATGAGGCCAAGCGCTTACTGTCACTAGGCATCCCCTTCGGCGCCGGAGGTTTCAATGTTGAAACCATGCCACTTGCTTCAGGCGGTGCTGGTGCTGGTGGAGAAGGACGTAAATTTGATGGAACTGGAGGAGGTGGTGGTTGTGGAGAAGGACGTAAATTTGATGAAACCGGAGGTGGAGGTGGAGGTGGAGGTGGAGAAGGACGTATATTTGATGGAACCAGAGGAGGAGGTTGCGGTGCAGTCATTTCTGCCGTCGGAACTGCCTCAATATTTATTTGCAGAGGCCTTGGTACTGGTGGTGCAGCTATTCCGGATGAAAGTGTAGGTGTTTTCTTTATTTTTGGATCATCCTTGTCTATCCAAACAGAACTCTGAGAGGTTGAAGATTTTCCTCTAAGCAATGGAGTTTCATGAATAGGTGACTCATATTTCCTGTTTCTATCATCTCCAATGACGATTCTTTTTTCTTCTTCATTTTCTTGATCATATTTTAAGTTCTGAAAGACCTGTTTTTTGAAGCTTCTTTTCCTGTCTCCCCTTTCTAAATTTCTCCAATAAAGTACATCCAATCCATTCTCATCAACAATCACCCCCTTAAGATTACCGTTAAATCGCGTAAAATCATTTTGAGGCCGAGGCACCACAGGATTGTCAGCATAGGGATTGACTTCAGTTCTTTCCCTCTTCTGACGTGAGCGCCTTAGGAGTATGAAGAAAAGAAGCCCTGAAATAACAAGAGTGCTAGCAGCAGTAGCAGCCACTGCTTTTGCAACAGCCTTTTTCGATGATGATTTTCCTGGCAGTGTAGCTGGTTGTGATGGCACTGGATTTGGTATTGGTGGAGGACTAATAGGCCGGTCATCAGCTGGAGGAGGAGCCGGAGGAGGAGAATATGGATATCGGGTTTCGATGTTTTGAGGATAATTGGATTGACAAGACGATGGAGGAATTGAAGAAATGATGAATAGAAATAATAGAAAAAGAATTGCAGATGGCTGAAATTTTGCAACCATGATTTCTAGGAAAGAATTGAGGAGAGTTTGATTTTAAATCAATTTTTGGAAGTATTTTGATCATTTCTTGATGTACTTCTTGATAATGCTATTTTGGATTTGGTCTAGTTGCTGAAAGTTTCTAAGTAGAGTAGTTGGTTTTGTGTTGTATAATTTGGAATATTTAAACCCTCCCGGGTTTTATAATGTAAAATGACCAAAATGACCTATGACGGTCCAATTTATAAGTATAAAACTTGTGATTATAGTAGTGATAATTATGCTCGACGTGCAGGTTAATTGATTGTTAATTCAATAATTAATGTTAGAGATGTTCCATTACTCTTTCCATGATTCCGAGTCGAAAATGTTGAACTAGTCTATCGTACTTATTGTGTATTTGTACAATCTTAGTGCTAATCGCCTTGATTATTATAATCTAAACATGGGATTATATTAATCATCTGATGTTGTAAAGAAATTGATGTCATGCAAGTGTACAAGAAAGTCAGAAGAAAGAATGCACACAAAAAAGAATCATATTTCAGCAATGTTAGGTCATTTGCCATGGAAAGTGTTCTTTTGTATTCTACAAGGAATTGGTCAATTCTTTGTTTGAATATGTTGTTAATTTCCCACAAAACAAAATTTTACTGAAAAGGGGCTGGGTATAATTGTCTATTAATCCTATTTTAAGCAAAAAAAAAAAAGAAAAAAAAAAGAGAGTTGTTAGGTTAAACAAAATATTTTGACAATCAAAATGTAAAAGGAAATATATTTTATTTGCAATGCTAGCACGAATGACGATTTAAATGGCTTAAATGATTATCTTTCACAATATTGATGTCTTTTTAGGGTTACACTACATGTATCGAATTTTCATATCGAATCTTTTACACCCCACTCACATTAGGAGGTGGGGATCACAAGTCGAAATTTTTAAATACACATGCGCCTCGATACATATAGACTACTTCATTTTAAAATGCTTTAAACGCATTACATGCTTCCGCAAAATGCCCAAGTACAGTGCTGATAGTCGAAAGATACCTAATTTTGGCAGTTTGAAGTTTTGGACCATTGTTGATAGT